TCTCTCCTCCTCACCCTGTCTCACTCGCTCTCTTTTCCTAACCCTGTCTCTCTCTCTTCTCCTCACTCTCTCACTCTCTTATCCTCACCCTGTCTCACTCTCTCCTTCTCTCTCTCTCCTCCTCATCCTGTCTCACCCTTTCTCTCCCTCTCTCCTCTTCACCCTTTCTCTCGCCCTCTCTCCTCTTCACCCTTTCTCTCGCCCTCTCTCCTCTTCACCCTTTCTCTCGCCCTCTCTCCTCCTCGCCCTTTCTCTCGCCCTCTCTCCTCCTCGCCCTGTCTCCCTCTCTCCTCCTCGCCCTGTCTCGCCCTCTGTCCCTCCTGAGAGCAGCTCTCTCAGGAGATGTTAGCATTGGCCAGTGTCCTCGGTGATGGTGACTTCATGCTAACAAGCCTGCAGGAGTCCGGCCCTGTCCGTCCGTGAGGGACACGAACCGGACTGTCCTGCTTGGGGCTTCGCTGCGGGGGGGGTGGCCGTGTCCCTCCTGCCGCTGTGATGAGTAACGAGCAGCGCAGGGGTGGCGCTGATAGCTGCTGCTCTGCTGCTCGTCCTGTCGGCTCTTGAGATAAGGAGCAGGTCCCTCGTTTATCTCTGCCGCCGCGCGCGGGCGCGGCCTCTGGCTCGTCGGCGATGTCCGCCTGCCCTGCACGAGTCGAGACGCCGCTGCGCGAGGAGCTGCCGGGATGTGAAACATCCTGGGAGACCGCTGGCGTGCCCCGTGCAGGTCGCGCCCCACTCCAGCACCTACTGGGGGGTCTGGAGGGCTTAACATCAAGTGACGGGGGTCACCTGCACGCAGCGGGTGAGGAGAGGGGTGTCCCTCTGGGGTGAGGCGGTGAGTGGCAGAGTGTGGGGCCCCAGGGGTGCACGCTGACACCCCTGCCTCACCCCCTCCCCTCCACCCTAACTGCACCTACTGGGACCAGCAGATCAAACCAGCTCCACGGGCTGTAACTCCAACAGACCGGCTCAAATCCCATCAGAAACAGCATCTGCTAATCGACGTGGTTGTATGGTGGCGCCTGGCAGGGACGTCCTCGGTGGGCTCCCAGTGCGGAGCAGTCTGACCTGCTCCAGGCGTGCGAGTGCCGTCTGTTGCTCTGGGCCTCACGGTGTCGTCTCTCTCGCTCTCAGGCGCTTGTGCCCTCTGCGCCAGCGGCCGGCAATAACGACTACTCTGACCCGTTTGACGCTCGACCGGAGGCCTGGCTGGAGCCGCCGCCCCCCCC